ATTTCAATCGCATATAACTATTTCATTATATTTTCATAAAAATGGGCTTGTATTTTTTTGATGTGAGGAGTTTGACCTGTTACTCCATTCATTTGAATATCAATTTCAATATGAATTTCAATTTCAACTGTTCCTGAACTGGTCATTGGTAGTATCTGGGTTTGAGTCAGCTGTGTTTTCCGCCAGAGAAAAGCAAGAGTTAGTTACCATAGCAACACACTGTTTACCTGCCAGCACTTATTATTAAAGGTAAAAACTAGTGCTGTCCAACGATTAAAATATTTAATTGCGATTAATCACATGAATTTCATAGTTAACTCGCGATTAATCGCAAATTAGTCACACATTTGCGTGCTGTGTGCAATTGCTTTTTTATTGAAAACAATGTGTAGTGTTATATTACACACTAACATTTGATGCAAAATCATCAATAAATGGATGACAAAATAAATAATTGGTAACAAATAGCCCCTTCAATGTGTGTGTGTGGGTGTGTGTGTGTATGTGTGGGTATAGACCATAGACTGTATAGAAACATCATGGTGTCATTATGATGATGATAAACAATCTGTAAATATTTTGTAAATTTGTTCATGTAAATACTCTATGCTGTTTCTCTGTTTACCTTCGGTATATCTATGACTGTATACTGTTTGCTTGTATTGCCTTTTTTATTAACCCCTCCCCCTCCTATGTGCCCTTCTGGGTTTCTTCTTTGGCCCCCTGTATCTCCAACTACATGTTGTTTGTAATCTCTGTCTACAATGTATCTGAACTAGTCCTTTTCTTTGTTTCTATTTTTTTTCTGTATATGTGTTTGTCTGCAATAAAAAGTAAAAAAAAAACAAACAAAAAAATCATTTTTTTTTTTTATTTTTTTTTTTCATCGCGCGATAAAAAAAATGACGGCGTTAATATTGATTTGCGTTAACGCGTTAATAACGCGCTATTTTGGACAGCCCTAGTAAAAACCTTATAAATTACCATTCAAACTCATGGAAAACTCAAACTTTTTTTCTCAGAACTCCATTGGTTTGAATGGGAGCAGTCAAACTGACGGCTCTGGGAGTTCTAGTGCTAAGGTGAAACTCTCACACAGTGAATGACATAATACCCTAAAGACATATCTGCCCTTTGATCAGGTAAACTCATACAGTTGCTGTTATATCAGTAAACATTAGAGCTCTGTGTCTCTGCTCCATCTGCCGCTCGTGCGAAAGCCACAGAAGTAAAGATAATATCAGCGTGGACAAATCTAAAATTGGAAAATATCCTCTGCAGCGGAGGCCAAATGTGTGTGCGGCTGCCTCTCTGTGGGTCATGATTGTCTGTGAGCATAAGAAGATTAAGATGCATGCGTCAATCCAGGATTTAGACGCAGAGACACAAACCGCCTCCTCCCCTCAGCGACACTATCACACCCACCACATTCAAACTATCAGTGCATCTTAAGTCTTCAGCTCCTCCTGCTCGAGATAAAGACACCGCTAAAGTCAAAATAAACAAAGAATGACTTATGTAATCCACACACTTGCCTTTGACAGTTACTTCGGTCATTTGAGCCCGATCCTCTCTCTCCTACTTTATCATTATGGATTCAGTTGTAGTCTGTTCAGTGCTATTCACTCGCTGTCCCATTGTCTGTTTCATGGTGTGATGATGAGACCCCTGTACGTCCCCTTGATTTGTGGGCTGCACCCCTCTCCCCACCTGAGAACCTCTTTAGTCCTGGTTCTACAGCCTCGGCCCTGGTTCTACGGCCTCGATCTACAGCCTGTCCATTACGTTTTTTTGAGTAGTTCCTTGCTGATGCAGTGATGATCCGGGATATTTAAGGACATGTATTAACATTGATGGACATGTCCTGTGGTCATGCTATGGGCCGATGACTCCGATGTGTTTGTTATTATTGTAGTTTCTGTGTTCGAACTGTTTGATTCTCTGATTTGTTGTTGCCGAATCAACAACTTTGTAAAGTCCTCTAAGACACTGTTGTGATTTAGGGTTAGGGTTAGGGTTAGTTCAAATAAATTTGTGTTTGGAGATTATGTTTTACTGTTACATGTACTGGGATAGTTTGCCTCTTCAAATTCAAGGCCACGGTTCTCCACCAGAACCGTGACAGGCAACTCCAATGGGTGTTTGCCCCATCACCATGGTCATCAGCTTTTGGGTAACGACTGAGAGGATAGCTTATGAAGTACAAGTGGTAGAATTGAGTTTCTTCTGCAGAGTGGGCTCCATAGGGATGGGGTAAGAGGCTCAGGGCACTTGGTGAACAACAGCTGAGGAGAGGTTTTGGATGCCTCCCGGAAGCCTTGTACTATTAGTATTTCAAAAGAGGTCATATTATTTGTCTATTTTTGTCTGTTTATTTCCAATTAAAAATGTTGTTAAAAGCCGACAGCTCTGATTGTTAATTGCCCCACTTACACAGAAAGAGCAGGTAGGAGGTATTACCCCACTGACAGACACTAAGAGGCTTTTTCCTATTCTGAGCAGAAGTGAACCGGGCCTGCTCCAGCGCAGCTTCCGGTCTGTTTCCTCACTCACAGTTTATCAACATGTCTTACTCATATGATGCAACCACCTACGCACAAAATATGCCACATATCGAAATAAAAGCACATCGAAGAAGATCTGTAAATAGCAGATGTCAAAATGTAAGACAAGAGGGACATTAACAGCTTTAGTTCAGGAGTTGTGCAGTTGCATGCTTTCCTTAGGGATAGGTCTGTTAAACTGTACAATAAGAAACACTGCAAATAATGATACATTTTGAGGTAATAATTCAAGTGTTTTTAAAGATAAGATAAGATATGCTTTATTTATCTCACAAGGAGTAATTTACATGTCACATCGGCATGGATAGAACACTCAAGATTGTGCAAAAAGGGAGGAAATGTGCAAACATGTTAAATGCAGCATATATTATGTACAACAAAAGTGTCAAGTGTCAATTCAAAGAGTGGCAATCATGAACAGTGTCAATAGTAGTGCAATGTATTCAAATTTGAGTACATTTTGAGTGTCTTAAAACAAGATTTGCCAATGGGACGAGGCGTTTAATCATGTTTCAAGAACTGTTGCATTTTCTTTTCATTCCAAGGGAGACATTTCTTGTATCTTTTTTTCTTTTCCCATATTGAGCCTATGTAAAAAGACGTTTTTCATTTAAGAGGGAAAAAAGTGATAATTTACATTCTGAAACCGACTTGAATCATAGTTTTATGGTTGAAGCAGTCACTACATTTCACCAGACTATCAGAAGCAAAAGGACTGAACAGGGCTCAGGAGTCCTGAGTCAGGACTTCTCTGTGTCAGTCAGATGTAGGCTACATCAGGCCCGGACTGGCCATCGGGAGCATCGGGAGATCTCCCGGTGGCCTGCGTGTCAAAGTGGCCTGGGCCTGCCCTATCATCACGGTCTTTTTTTCTTTTTTTTTTTTTTCTTCTTTCTTTTAATTTAATTTCATCCTCACGGTCTTTGCAAACTCCTACCCTGCCTGGTGGCCTGGTCCAATGAGCAAGGCCCAGGCCAAAGGCAGTGTTGTGCGTGAACGAGTTCAAAAGAACGCGTTCATTGAACACGCTCATTTTTTCGTGAAACGTTGAACACATTTTTTAATAAATAACTTGAACGTGAATTAGTTCATATTATGTGTCATGAACGGCAGACAATTTGTTTTCCATTTAAAACTGAGTGAAATCTGTTTTCTCTTTTGAAACGCAACGAGAGAAAGTTCCTCCCTCCTGTATTCTCCGCACTGTTTCCGCCGAAAACTAAAAATTCCTACGGTTTCCACCGTCTGTGAACGCACCCCGACTCAGTGTACTTGCGGTGCGGCGCTAGTGCTATTCATTGGTTGTTGGACTCACATGTGCCGTGATGAAAACACAGGGGTAAGTCAGTGACACAGGACCGTTTACATTTGACATAAAGTATAGACACACGTTCTGCAGCGCATTACAGTTTGTAGTACTTATGAGCAGAGATGGGACAACTCAGTTCCCATTGAAACCCATGTAAATCTTGTCTGCATTGGAGTCAAAACATCCTGTGCAGTGTACAGGATATAATATATATATATATATATACCACGTATTGTGATTTCTAGCTCGTAGTGAAAAAAAATATTTATTTGAATATCTCACAAAAAGTAAAATGAACTGAACTTTGAACTAGTTCAGAATTAAAATTGAGAACTTCGAACGTGAACTGTTCACTTTGAGCATGTATGAACTGAACTTGAACTTGTTCAGAAAAGCTGTGAACTGGCACAACACTGGCCAAAGCTTTACTGTCATTGGGCCAGAGCAAAATTAAACAAATGTGACGTCACACGTCGGCTACACAGCCAGGCCAGCCTAGCAGTGCACCCAGTGTAGCTTCCCCGGTTGAAATGAGTGGTCTCTCCAACTGATGGTTCATACACGTTGTTATTTTTCCTTTTATATGAGCTGTAACGATGTGATTTTACCTTACTACTTTTTTAACAATAATTGATTAGCTTGTTATAGTTATACACTAATGAACACTTAGTTCATTGTGTGTGTGTGTGTGTGTGTGTCTTTATTCTCACTAAACTCCATAAACGTTACGTTGCTAAGCAACGTACAACAATCTTTAAACGTCCGAGATTATATAAACAGTCAATATAAAAAGAAATAAAGAAAACAAAAGTTTTGACAGTCAATCTTAAAACTATTAAAAGAACATCAAAATACAATGACAAAAACCCAAATTTAGAACCTTGTTTGGCCTGAATGGATGAAAAGCTCCCGGCCTGAAATGTTGTCCCACTCCGGCCCTGGGCTACATAGTAAGTGCAGGTGGAGGTCCAGTGCGCTCCTCTGCTGTGAGCGCAGTGAGGAGGCCTCGGGATTACTGCACCGAGCAACAGATGGTGGTGTCTCTCCTTCAAGCGCACACGCATCTTTGGTCCAACTAGACTAAGTCCAGTCTACGTGACTAGGTCATCACGTTAAAGGTGTTTTACCTTTTTCTTGGGCGGCATGGCGGTTCGGGCGCTCCTTCAGCCGTGTCCCGTGGGTCATTTACGAGCCTCATTCACCTGATGCAGTAAGTCCGCCTCGCACCGCGCTCTCATTGGACATATCCAGGACGTGCACGGGTCCTGGGGCAGGAGTAACGCGCACAGCAGTGTCCTGGAGCTGTCCGTGATGGAGACGTGCTTGTCCCGTGCAGGACAGCGCCACAGGACGTTCAGGAGCCGCGGTTACTGCTCAGTGGAGAAACCCTCCGCGGAGCCGGGTATTAACGGCTTATTTCTGCAAGCGGCATCTGCTGCAGGGCACGCGCCTCTGTGACGTCACAGAGGAAGTTTCCCGAGAGTCTGTGCGCTCACAGGGCTTTCGGAAGCCCGTTTCCGCCATGTAAAAAAAAAGCCTACAGAAAATCAAAATTACGACTTTAAAAGTCAAAATTACAAGTTTTCAACTGCGCATGTGCAGTTGAAAACTTGTATGTATTGTTGTCTGGAACGGTCTCTGGTCATCCCTATTATAGATCAATGGGTCATCCTCTACCTGCAGATTATGTTTAGATATTTCCTACAGACTGTGACCACTGCATCCATGAAGTAGCAGCAATAATGTTGGGGCAGTAATCGCGTTAAAATGCAAACGGTCTCTGCGTTTATGATTAGAATCCGCTTCAGGAGCCTCTATTTAGTTTATCCTAAACGGACTGTGGAAGATTAATAATAAAACACATGTGGCTGGTCAAAGTCATTGAGCATCAACTGGTGACATCTGGTCAGTATCACGGCTATCGATGGATGCACCAGAAATGCAGTGAATGATATTGTGACTGACAGAGACCGTTCGCGATTACTGGACAGTGAGAGAGGTCCGCAGACAGAGGCAGGAGAACCACAGACAGAGGCAGGAGAACCACAGTCACGGGCACTGACAATATTAAACCTTTTGGAATTGCGATCAGTGCATTGAAGAGTATGTGACGTGTGTGCATGCGCACGGCCGAAACGTGAGCGCGCTCTGGGGTGAGCTGATGGAACGAGCGTGCGGGTAAAGTTGTTGGCGTATGAGCAGGAACCAGATAAATGTAGGGAATAAGTACTTTGTCTGATTATTTTATTGTGACAAAATAAAGCCCACGACTCTTTAAGCAACAATCCGGAGAAATAACTCCGCAGATAACAGTGAGGGTCTTTGAAAAGGGAGTTAAACCCATTATAGATGCATGAATAAAACCCCGTACTCAACACGTAGAGAGCGCATCATTTCAGCCGTGGAAACACTCGCTCCGTGTGGACCCCTCTCAGCGTCATCGTCTGGTCAGAGCGGTCTATAGCAGATTGGATTAGAATGTCTCGATGGCTCATTTTCCTTTGATTTATTATAAAAACGTATTGCTCACATTATTTCTTACTATGTCGAAATAAGAAGATGTTGTATATATGTAAATTTGAATTTAACATAAATAAATAAAAAGACAGCTCCTCCCTGCGTCCTACGACCGCGGTCTGGGGCTTAAACAGGAAAGTTTTACAGAATCAATCAAACAACATTATTTCTGGCTACTTCAAGGATGCAGTGGTCACTGTAGGCAATATCTTCATAATCTACAGGTGAAGGACGTCCAGAGACCGTTCCAGACAACAACACATACGAGTTTTCCACTGCACATGCGCAGTGGAAAACTCGTAATTTTGACTTTTAAAGTCGTAATTTTGACTTTTAAAGTAAAAAATTTGAGTTTTAAAGTCGTAATTTTTAGTTTAAAACTAAAAATTTTGACTTTCCGTATGTTTTTTTTTTTTTTTTCTTTACATGGCAGAAACGGGCTTCCATACAGGGCCATGTTACTGACTGGACGTATGCAATATCAGACACATATATGTGAGAGACATATTTGCCCTGGGTTTTACCAATTTCACCTTCATCTCTGGAAAGACTCCTGCCCGTGGATATCAGTGCCTTTCATAATGTAGCATTTTTATGTTTCACTTTTTTGTCCAGGATAATCAGGGCCTAACTCTAGACCAATGGCTTATACTAGTGTTCCTCCACCGTTTTGAGCCGTGGCACACGTTACTTCATTGAAAAAAACCCATTCACGAGCTGCTAAAACTGAAACACATATGAAACTCTGCAGCCTTTAGTAACAAAGCAAAGTCATTCTCATAAAAGTGTATTATACAGAAATCCAAACAAGCTTTTTTCTAATATCCTCACATTATATTCTTTTGACTTTATTTTGACCAATTAGGTTATATTGCACAATATCCAAAGGCACACCAACGTGCCATGGCACAATTGAAAAACACTGGGTTATACTACTCAAACGTCCACGAGAACAATCACCACCAACACACACCCATAAGTACCACCAACACACAATCAATCACTCAATCAGTGATGGAAAAGCTATATCCCCTTAGAGTGGAGAGGGCCCTGGGTGTCTTATTGCTCTGATCAGTGTCAGTCGTCAGATCAGCGTGAACTCAGAGCTGCGTCACGTGTGCAGCGCTGCACATGTGCTCACTACAAACATCAACAAACAGCTGTTTCTAATCCTCTTACACAAACCTCTGGACATGTGTCCTATGGAGCCCAGGGAGCCGCACGCACGCCACCTCAAAGTGAGCTCATCATTTACTGGTGTCAGCTGTGAGTCTGGAGGCGTTTGATTTGAATATGATAAACAGTTTTACTGTTTTTTTACTTACTCTTAGTATAATGGACAGATGTAGATTCAACAATAGAGGATCCACGGCATGTACATGATATAATAATAACTTATGTTCACTGAAGTGTTCTGGCTATTGCACGTGTCTTTAGTGGGGGAACTGGAGTACCCAGAGGAAGCTCGGACAGACACGGGGAGAACGTCCACTTTTCACACAAAAAGTGCTCTGTCGCAAGGATTTGAACGCAGGACCTTCGATTGCTTTATCTTAGAAAAGCAACATATTCATTTCAATCTATTTTGCACAGCCCTAAAAAACAACAGCAGTCGCCTCAAAGGACTTTAAAATGTTGCTCATTCCTGTACAACAGATCAGAGAAACAAACAGTCTGAACACAGGAAATGCAATAAAAACAAACACATATGAGCCATTGGTCCATAGGGAGCGGATCGACCAATGTCCATAAATGTCAAAATTCTAATGAAACAGGAACTTTGTTTAAATGATTGTTAAAGTCTATTCGGCAAGATTTCCAATGCTCTAGAACAATCCAATCAGAGACATTATCTCAACCATCTCAGCCTCAGACCCTCAGCCTCACTTACCCATGAGACAATCTTCCTGGACAGTTTTGCCATCGTCTGCTGCTCCCGAGTCTATGTCCCATTTAGTCCTCATTGGGCCTTGTACTGTACATTAATTCAATCGATATGTAGCCCTCGAATGCCCACGATTCCACACAAAAATTCTTTTCTTTTAAAACTCAAACTACAAAAATAACGCCTGTAGGATGCTGTGTAGGAGTGAGGAAAATACAAACAGGAAATAGCTGTGAAAGTGATGCGCCGATGCAGAAATAGATCATTTAAATTCACTCTGCTCCTATCTCTCGCAGGCTATTCCATTTCCATCATGGTTTTGAATCCTATATGAATATGTAATGTAACATCTGGCTCCAGCCCCTCCCTTGTGAATTCATGAACAACCAATCCTGCCATTCCCCACAGATCTACTGTACGCACATGAACTTTGGCTGTTTCTATATTGCTTTAAAGTGATTGTGTAAGAGTGCAAAGCATATAGCAATGACTAAACCAGGCATGTCCAAACTAAGGCCCAAGAGCCAACTGCGGCCCTCTGTGTTATGCTATGTGGACATCAAACCCAGAGTAGTCTTTGAGATCATAAATAACAGCTCACAGTGTCATCCAGCCAACTTCAGCTCCACATGCCTATGTTATGGCTAGGTGGACGTAGATTCTGGATTTGAATCCCATTCAGGTGGAGTTTGCATGTTCCCTGTGTCCGCGTAGGTTTCCCCCGGGTCCTCCAATTTCCCCTACCACTAAAAACAGGTCAAATCTTCCAGCTCCGGTACTCCTGACCAAGTCAAGCATAAACACCTGGAGATGGGTTTCCGGGCGCTGTGGTACGGTGACCACTGCTGCGCACAGAGGCCCTAGCGGTTTGACTGGATGGGTCAAATGCAGAAGACAAAGTTTCAATCAATCGATCTATTTTATTTACAGAGCCCTTTACAACACTCGAGGCGACCAAATATTACATAAAATCCATTAAAATGCATTTATGCATTCAAACAAAATATAAAAAGTGTCACCTGCTAATAAGTGATAAAAGTGTTAAAAGCTAGTCTGAACAAATATGTTTTGAGCTTCGATTTAAAAAGGCCAAAATCAGTGAGGACACACATGTAAGGAGGCAGCTTGTTCCAGAGTCTGGGTCCAGTGACTGAGAAGGACCGGTCTCTCCAGTGTTTGGACCCAGCCATAGGTACAGTACTTCCAGGAGGAGTTGAGATGATGACCTCAATGATCTGCCTGAGTCACGAACAGACAAAAGTTCGAACAAGTACGGCGGGGCGAGATTTTTTTTCCCTGAAGCCCATTGAGGGCTTTTTGTTTTTAAAGCCCTCAATGGGCTTCAGGGAAAAAAATTGCGTTTTACATTTACATAAACCTTGTTGTAAAGCTCAGAACCTTTCAGCAATTGGCTTTTTTTGAATACGTCATGTTATGTCATTTTCTACCCCTTTATTATTCCATTTCTGGGTTAGGGGGGTGGCACCCAGAGCTGCCACCCAAGTCTCATAGCGGCAATCTCCCCCTGATCCTCCTGCAGGTGGGTCCATGCACGGGAAGATTGCTTCTCCATCAGCAACGACATGGCCTTGGTATTTCAGTGGGGGCTTCAGACAATGTGGGATTAAGTGTCTTGCCCAGGGACACAATGACAGCAGAGTCAAATTATGTATAATTTGATAATATGTATATGTTTAAAGCACTACAAATATTGTTGATGTTTTTTCTGTTTTCTATTCTTAT